ATTTGAATAATATCAATAGAGATATTGAGAATAATGATAGTACTAGTAGTAGTAATGATAGTAATAATAATAATTGATAAGGATTGTTATAATGAAAATGATCAAATGATAATAGCAATTATAATGATAATGATAGTCATGGTAATGATAATAGTAATGATAATAATAATAGTAATGATAATAACGATTATGATGATAATAACTAATGAAAATAGTAATACCAATACTAGTAATGATAATAGTAATGATAATGATGATGATGGTGAATGTCATAGTGATGATGATAGTGACGATGATGATAAAGACAAACAACAATACTACTAATACTAATACAATTATCGATATAACGATATTGAGAAGCGAGGACAAGAAAAATTATATCCCATTTAATAAAAAAAAAAAAAAATTATGAGAGAGAAAATAACGAAATTATAACGATGACGTGAACCACAACATCGACTGACCAGCGATTAGAAGCTTTTCAGAGTAATTTTTTATTTAATAGTTCTCCCTTCTGGACTGACCGATTTAGGGTCAATTATAGCGATAATTAAAGAGACAAAAGGGGCTTGGCAGATGCACACACCTGTTGTCAATTGCACCTGTTACTAATTACAGAACGATGTGCGATTTGACATCAAGTTGTTTACGAGTTAAATCATATACGTGGCGATCGTGAAATACACAAGAGATCGAAGGACTTATAGGGATATATCAGATTTATGCGACTATGATTTAATTATTGTATATTTATTATGCGGATTATTTAAATTGTGTATTGAATTTCACAGGAAGTTTATGGTGTTTGTTTTTCTTATCCACAGAGGCCGTGGTGGACGAGAGTATGAACCCACAACAGTTAACGACGATGTTGAAACAAGACGAAGAGGGTTTTAAGCTTCCAATCATTCCTGCCAAAGGCTTTGATGTAAGGCGTTGCATCTTTACTAAACTTTCGATGCACTTTATTTTGTATTATTATGATTTTTCTTTTTGAATTTATAGCTCGAGCTATTTATATCTTTGGATAGTTATTCGTTCATATGAATGTATCTTTTTAATTATTTTTTATGTCATATTGACACATCTGGTGTTATTAGGTTTGCAAAGATGCCCTACCTCTCTCCCCAGCTGAGAGCGGTTTTGATGTAAAGCGTTGCATCTTTGCTAAAGTTTGGACGCATTTCATTTTGTATTTATTATTCTAAATCCATAGCTCGAGTTATTTATATATTTAGATAGTCATTCGTTCATATGAATGCATTTTTAAATCGTTGTTTACGTTATAATCTGGCGCAGTTACGTTTGCAAAGATGCACTGCCTCTCTTCCCAGCTGAGAGCGGTTTTGATGTAAAGCGTTGCATCTTTGCTAAAGTTTGGACGCATTTTATTTTGTATATATTATTCTAAATCCATAGCCCGAGTTATTTATATATTTAGATAGTCATTCGTTCATATGAATGCATTTTTAAATCGTTGTTTACGTTATAATCTGGCGCAGTTACGTTTGCAAAGATGCACTGCCTCTCTCCCCAGCTGAGAGCGGCGCAAGTCGGGAAAGCGAAAGGCGACATCTTGAAGAATCTCTCAGAACTCGACATCAAGCAGTTGCAGAAGGTGCAGCAGTTCGTCAATTCCGCCCACGACCCCCAGGCAGTTGAAGAATTTCGAATTGACCAAGCCCTGCAATCACTAAAAGTAAGTGCGCATGTAGACGGACATACATTGTGTGTGTGTGTTTGTTTGTGTGTGTGTGTGTGTGTGTGTGTGTGTGTGTTTGTGTTTATGTTTGTGTTTGTGTTTGTGTGTGCGTGTGCGCGCGTGTGTGTGTGTGTGGTGTGTGTGTTTGTGTGTGTGTGTGTGTGTGTGTGTGTGTGCGTGCGTGCGTGCGTGTGCGTTGTGTTGTGTGTGTGTGTGTGGTGTGTGTGTGGTGTGTGTGTTTGTGTGTTGCGGTGCCGTGTGCGTGTGCGAGTGCGTGTGTGTGTGTGTGTGTGTGTTTGTGTGTGTTTGTGTTTGTGTTTGTGTTGTGTTGTTGTGTTTGTGTTATGTTGTGTTTTGGTGTGGGTGTGTGTGTGTGTGGCGTGTGTTATGAGTGTGGATGTACGTATACGTGATGCGTGGTAGTATGCGTGGGCGTGTATGTGTTTATGCGTTTACTATGCTTGTGCGTTGTCTGTATGCGTCCGCGTGTCTGCATGCGCATGCGTGTGTGCGTCTCGCCCTCCCCCCCCCAGTCCACTCCACACCTCCAACCCCACGTCTCCTCCCCAGGTGCGGCTCCTCGAGGAGATCAGAACAGCGCCAGAAGTTCCCGGCGATCCACTGGAGCGCCGACCCGAGGCCAGGCCATCTCGACAGGGCCCGCCCGACCGACGCCACGTGAGGGAGGTGCGGCGCGCGGAGCGCGCGCGACACTTTGTATGTAGGCCTTTTGAAGGGCAGTCTAAAACGGAGCTTCGCGAGGGGTTCCTCAAGATCAATTGCATTCAGGTGCTTTAGAGGGCGAGGGTGTGATGGCGACGTGGCTATTGGCACGACGGCGACGTAACTACTTATTGTGTTTTGGTATACGAGTGCGCATATGTTTTCTTTTATCCGAGTTATGGTGCAATATATAATATAATATATATTATATATATACAAATATATATATATCATATATATATATAATATATTAGGCATTCATAGTGTGTAGGACCTCGGTTTATTACTGCTGAAGTAAGGAGTGTGAGAGAGAGATAGAGATAGAGATAGAGATAGAGATAGAGATAGAGATAGAAGAGAGAGAAGAGAGCGAGAGAGAGAGAGAGAGAGAGAGAGACGAGAGAAGAGAGAGAGAAGAGAGAGACAGAGAGAGAAGAGAGAGATAAAAATAAAGAAAAGGCAAATAAAACAAATTCACCAAAATTGCAACCTGGATGCACCAAGCCAATGCCCCCGCCTCTCCTTCCAGATTGTGATATCGACGACGTGGCGCTCCGGCTCGACTTTCCTGGAGGAGCTGCTGTCCGTCCCACCGCCGCCGTCTACAACCACTACGAGCCCCTCATGCAGTTCGGCCTCAAGCAGATCCGCGAAGGGCAGGACTCGGTCAAGGCGCAAAATCTGGCTCCACGACCTTCTTGCACTGGCAGGTAGGACACGACTCAACCGTCGAGGCAGGGGGAAGACAGCAACAACACACAACACACCAACACAACACAGATGGAGGGGGGGGAGGGCCTAGGGGTCATCTTGCACTGTCCACACAGTACCCCATACACACATACGGACCCTCCACCTCTGCTTTTCCTCTCACCATTCTCTCCACGGGCACCAACACACGCACACAGAAAGCAAACGCTCACCATAACAACGGCCATTCCTTCATCGACCACTCCATCTGGGCGCTTGTCAGGCGCAGATAAGAAAGAATAACACAGAGGCCCCATTCTGTTCCGGCCTGGACATCCCAGCTCCGTCCCCCCTTCCCGGGTCACGTCGTCGCCCCACAGGTTTCTCCCCTCTTCCTCACTCACATGATCACATTGTATGTGTAATACACAGAAATGCGCGGCTGACCTTATGTGTGTGATTGTGTCAATAGATGTTAGGTCGGCTAAGGTCGGATTTCAGCTATGCACTGATGGTGCCACGTAAGATATAGTGTCGCGTCATGGCAGTTACCAGCACAGTATGCATGTAGTATGACTATCCAGTACAAGATGGCATCTAGCTCAGAGTTGCCGCGCGCTGTAACTACACACTTGGTAACAAGTCGGACCTGAGGTGATTCCTCCATGGACACCACCAGCATTGCACCTAGGTAGTGTATCCACTCCAAGGGGGTGAAAAGACACATAATATGTCATCTTTGAGGAGGGTCGCGTTTCGAGGAGGCAAGAGTCACAGGCGCGCTGTACGCGAGGACGCGAGGGGGGGTAGGGGTCCGAGTATTTTGGGGAGGTTGATGGAGGGGAATGTCCAGAGAATAGGAAGGTATTTTTTTTTAACCTGCACACAAACACACAACACCACACACACACACACACACACATACACCGCGAGCGTCATCAACGAGGCAACAACACACAAAGACATAGGGTGATGAGCACCACGACGAGCACCACACAACAATAACAACACAACAGCGCTTCCGGGTATTGCAATCACACACTATCCTACATTCCAAACCGGGTCACTCTCATACTCCACGCAATTAAATCCCGGCAACTAACAAACACTCAATACGTGACCATTCCAACACTCCATCGATCGCCCTCAATACCAACACACACACACACATTCCTCACACCACAGCACACAGTCCCAATCTATCTATCATCCACGTAATGACACAACTAACAAAGACGCACACACAGCACTCTTCCCCATGCTGCAGAACCCGGTGGTCAAATGGCGCGCGCCCGGCTGAAGTTCTTTCTGAACTTCCCGTTGCAAAGGATACCAACACATCGAACATACACACATAAGGCGAAGTCGGATCAATGCACGGCGCTCAGCATCAAGGCAGAATGTTACCAGGCGCAACGTGATGGTTGTGGCAGACGTGCAGCAACCAGCAGAATCGGCGACTTCGCTCTGCTACAACGACGCCTCTCACTCGAACAACGGGGCCACACAGCACTGAGACCCAGCTACACTACTACACACCCTTATGGTCCACCATGAAAGATGCGTGAGGGCCTACACATCCAAGCACAGCGGCTGCAAGCTCACACTGCGCAGTAGCACCAGACATCCTCGGAGGACAACTCAGCAAACCCTGACACACGACAGGGAGCAGGTACTCAGTCACAGGTATCACTCGATGCGGGACCTCGCGCGGCAACGTCAACGCACAAAGCTCACGACGCATCTCGAATCACCAAACCACCACAACGCCACACACAGTCAAAACGCAAGCATCGACAACTCCACACGTTCACACACACACATCCCAGACACCACTTCCACACACAACACACACACACAACACACACACAACACGAGCCAACACAACACAGAACCACCCCAGAGCCGAGCTAACACAGCCTCATCGAGCGGACAATCACAGCGAGCACCCACCTAGGACGACGACCTCACGGCGGCCCTGGAGCTGCAGGAAAGGATTTCCCGGGGCTGTTTACATCCTCCGCTAAGGACATGTCCCTGAGTCCGGTCAACAAAGACTCAAGGAGCTCCTGGAGTTCTGGGCGCCACTCGACACGGACTGTCCGACCACATGTATAGTTTTGACTATAGCCTCAAACAACGACGCTACAGCCCCAAGAATGCAAGAGTTCCTGGACTCGCACAACGCCAAGAAACCTCGACCAACGACAAGCCTTGTGGAGGTATCCCCTCGAGAGCTCCCACACCGCAAAGACCCGAGTCCACGCTACCTGTGGATCCCTTATTAATTGCACCAAAGCTTGCCTATCTGCGCGCAGAAGCTGACAGGGTATCCAGGCACGTGTTGCTTCACTGCGCCCGGTCAATGAGGCGCTTCGGTTGTACCCCCGATTCTTTTTATGGCACTATGAATACAAAAGATTCCGCACGAAAGGTAACATAGATCAAGTCTCACGCAGAAAAGAATACTAAGAACCGGCTTAGAAAGAAGCGTACAACAATGTTACCATGAAACTCGAGACCTCTAAAGATTGAGATAAAGGAAAAAAAAGAAAGAGAAGATTTTATACTTTGTTTTTGTCTTTTCGCAAAAGTGCGAAGAGAATAACTATCACAAAACATGATACAAGAAATACCGGAAAATCGAATGGGAAAGGTTTTCACGTGAAGTCGAGGACGACAAATGAGCAAGCGATATATCAGACACAGGTATGAAAACGAAAGAAGAAAGAAAGAAAAAGAAGAAATACGACACATAGCGAAACAAATCAGAATAAATACGCAAAATAGATAGAAAGATTAGACCATACACGCAGAACAGAAAGAATATAGGGAAAGAAACGTATTAAAGATCGCATCGAGAGCACATGCAATATAAGCGAAACGATAGACAGAGAAGAACATCGCAAACCGCATTCACAAGAGAAAGAAAGCACGAATGCAAGAGAAGAAGAGGAGACGCAACTCAGACTAGCAGAGGCAGAGGAGACCAAAGAAAGGAGTATCAGGTGCCTTAAGCACGTTGAAGAGAGAGACACAAAGAAGAAAACACTTTCACTAGAAGCGAACGTCTGCCATCGGAAACTCTACGTGTGCCCGCTTTAGCGTGTGAAGTTGCCAGCGGTATTCGTCACCTTGCGTGTGTATTGTGTTATAATTGCAGGGGAATGTTTCATTTTGGGTGGTGATGGAAGTGTAGGATAAGTATATACGTTATCTGTCCTAGTTTGATCCTCTCTCATTTCTTCATTTCTCTCTGTCTTGTACTGTTCCTGTCTCTTTGCTCTCTGTCCTTCTACTCTTTGCTGTCTATCTCCATATCTCTACTCTCTCGATTATAATCCTCTCCTCTCGTCTCTATCCTCCACTGCTCTCTCTTTCATCTTTCATCTATCTCTCTATCATCTCTCTCTCTCATCTCTGCCTATATTAATATATATTATTATATAATAAATATATTATAAAATAATAATAAACGTATATAATACTATAAAAGGATAGAATATTGTAATAAATTATTTAAGAAATAATAATGAATTGAGTTGATAATATGTGGTGGATTGTGTGTGTGTGTGTGTGGTATGTGTTAGTGTGAATTTGTGTGTGTGTGAATGTGTTGTGTGTGTGGTGAATGTGTTACAATTGGACGGAGAATACAATGATCACATATACAACATATATTTATTAGGATGGTTCTGGATATACCATACAACAGTTACAATTACGATATGTAGCGCGATGACACATTTTGGAATAATCATGATTATGTATACATTGATAAGATGTAACCAATGTATAGTAATATAATAATGTTATAACTAAAACTACATAAGTAAACATATATAAATATGTATAACTATTGTTATATATATTACAGAATAGCTAAGTAAGTTAATACAGCCTACATATTAATAGTTATTTAATATAGATAGCAGTGTAAATCATATAGACATGGTGACATTATATATATGTTTCATTTATATACGTATGTAAGCAGCTCATCATTATACTATTGTTAAACATTGCCTTTCCTATCTTTCTCTCTGCAAACGTCCCATTTGATGCCAGTGCTTACGATTGGTATATATCTAAGGAGTAAAGGCAGGATAGAGTATTGTATGGCGAGTTAATGATTTGTCTTTTGTAAAGCACCACATTCAACAATCGGCCACAACCACTGATTTTTAGAGTAATAATGGCTATAATATAGAATGGCCCCCCTATAATTATGAAACATTGATAAACCGATTTTATAACAGCTAATTTAATAACAAAATAATGACGGTGAATAATATAAAATATTAATATTTGAGAAGGTGATGTTTATGTTAATGGCCTTGATAGTAATTATAATTAAATATGTTGATTATGATATACTGAAATGA